TATATATATATATATATGTATAAATTTAAGTCTTAAAATGGTTAGCCTAGGTCAGAGTGTTATTACGCTTGTTCATGTAACTAAATTCTTCAGTGGTGTTCACATTAGTAGTAACGTTGTTTGCACTTTTGACCACGACACCCTGGGGTCAAAGGTCAAGGTTTAACAGGTTGAGTCTAACGCCGTAATATATATATATACTAAAATACATAGAGACTAGTTAACATCACTAACATTTATAAGAAGATCAAGTCTGAGTGGATTAAACAAGATAAATTTTACATAGGTTTTTTTTTCGTAATTTATATTTTGTTTCCCACTTTTATTGATATTGATATCTATTTCTATATGCTTTGCACCAAACGTTATCGTCACATAACTCGAATTATCGCGGGTGTAAATTCCGGAACGGTTGAAAAGGAAAAAGCTCTGTGTAGTGGTCACTCTTGAAGTTTGCTTTCGACAAATTGTAGTGCCAGAAATATCATATCGTTTCAGCCCCCACCCACCCAGTGGCACAGCGGTATATCTGCGGACTTACAACGCTGGAAACCGGGTTTCGATACCCATGGTGGGAATAACGCAGATAGTCTGTTGTGCAGCTTTGCGCTTAACTACAAACAAACATGCCATTTCAAAAATTAAAATCGACAATCACTAAAAAGAAAAACCTACATGATTTGGTGTGTGTGTGTGTGTGTATCGTAACAAGCTTACATAATTCTATTCCTTAAAAAAAATAACCATTGTATAGAAAAACGTTTAATTGAGTGTAATTAAATTATCAATCAGAAATAAATGGAATGAAAAGTGTGAATTCTTATCCTTTTAAAGATTGTATTTCGGTTTCATAATCCTAATTCTTCTAGTTTTCAATGATATCTACGCTTTTAATTAATTAATCCTCAGGCGTATCACGATCTTTAAAATGCAACTGTGATAGTAAATTATGGGATATAAAGAAATATCAGTCTCTCATGTTTCTAATTCAAAGTGATGTTAATGAAATATTCATGAATTTTACTAACTTTAGTGTTTCAATGTTTATGTTACTCGCTAGATACTTTTTAAGCCTTAATCCCTGGTGGGGGGTGATTCAAAATCACCACTATTTATATTTTTCAAGCGAGAATTCTTGCTGATGAGCGTACGAATCTGATGTGTATGGATTACAGTCCTGCGTGGGAAGTGCTCCGAAAAGTTGCACACTCCGCCCTAAGGTGAGTGCACACGATCTCTGAGGATACTGTCTCTCATGCTACAGTCTAAGTCTCTATGGAGACTACGTATTACGAGGTTTTCTATTCAAGGCACTTTCTTTCTTTAACAGGACGTTCATGGCAAATAAGAACCTCCCAATGATCATATCAGAAAATGTGGATAATGCTGTGAACAAAATGATCAAGATCAAAGGACCACTCGACCCGGAGGAATATATCAGACTTTCTGTGTCCAACATAATAGCCACGTCAGCATTTGGCAAAAGGTAGAGAAGAAATATAGAAACAAAAGCTTGTAACTGTTGTTCCTATTTTACTGTGTAGGTGATCCATTATGTGTGTTAACGTCCATCACCCAGAGCTGGCCGACCGTAAGTTTATGTACGGTAACTAGAAACGTTCCGACTGTGTACAAGGGCTATTGGCCCGACATGGCCAGATGGTTAGGGCGCTCGACTCGCAATCTGAGGGTCGCGGGTTCGAATCCTCGCCCCACCAACCATGCTCGCCCTTTCAGCCGTGGGGGCTTTATAATGTGACGGTCTATCCCACTATTCGTTGGTAAAAGAGTAGCCCAAGAGTTGGCGGTGGGTGGTGATGACTAGCTGCCTTCCCTCTAGTCTTACACTGCTAAATTATGGACGGCTATCGCAGATAGCCCTCGTGTAGTTTTGCGCGAAATTCATAACAAACAAACAATCAAGGGCTATTTTTAAAGGATTTTTCCCCTCAAAGGGAGGTAAAAAAATACCTTGAAATAGGACACATTTCCACTTTTTGATATACTTTTGGCTTGAAATTTAAAAACACAAGTAGTTAATTAATCAGTTATGCAATTAAAGAATTAATAACAAGAACATTATTTAATTATTATTTAACATTGTCCAGTATACACTTTTACCTGTTTAACGGGTACTCTCGACTAATATACATAATTTAGACCCAAAAGTGGATTTATTACTTCTTGTACTTACAATATTTTGACGACTTTATTGGATCATTTCTTTTCATGCCACTTCATCCTCATTTATCCTCAACCACAATGAAAAAACCCTGAATGGTTTAAAGCTTTATTCTATGTCCAACATGTGTTAAATGAGCTTGAATAGAATAACAACCAGCATAGTTACTCTGTATTAATTCTTAATTCAGCTTGAGTCATCAGAGTCTAACATTTTGCTAATTTAAGAAAAGCGATACAACTGATGCAAATGAACGGTCAGTGACGTGTACAAGAGGGTGGTCGGATAAGCTCAAGCCCCTGCCTTCCTGTTGTTATGCTGTAAAAGTGTCCTCTCACTCAGTCGTAAAAAATTGTCAACAACTACTAAGAAAGATACATCTAATTCCACACTTACTTACTACGAGGTATTAGGAAAAAAATATTTCAGCTTGAAAATGAATGGAACACAGGAATTCGTAGGATTTTACAGTAAGAAAATAATTGTGATATGCCGTTAAGTGTTAATACACAGGAATTCGCTGTTTAATTTTAGATTTTAAGTGTTTATAACACCAGTTGAGTAGCAATAAAAGAGGATACGCTTCTCATGGCTTTCTACCCTATGTGTATCAGAGGCAACCCACAGACAGTCTTCATAGCCTCCCCTAACACCTCCACCCTCCAAAAAAAATTCTTACCATACGATGCTTGATAACTGCCCCCCCCCTTTTTTTCCCAATGAACACTTGCCGTTTAATTTTAAAATCAACTAGGAACACAAACTTTTGTAAAACCCTAATGACTCATGCCGTAAATTAAATTTACAAAGGCCGCTAAATCATCGACTAACCAGAGCTACGTTTCGCAGGTTCGATCCTGATGACCTTGACTTCAAGAACCTTAAAGAAGCTCCAGAGCTGATTTTCCAGGAAGCAAAGAACGGCCTTCCTGCAGACCTGTTTCCCGCCTTAAGAGTGTTCTTCCTTCACGGAGAGATGAGGTTAAGACATGGATATCAGAAGTTTCTGAAAGTTCTTTACAAAGAGTATAACTCTCACGTCCAGTCTTACAAGGAGGGTAACTATAGGTTTCCTATATTAGATTACCCTCTGTTCTTTTATTCAGGATCATAGGTTTCCTATATTAGATCCCGAATAATTATAACGTTTAGATTCTTAATGACAGCGTGTACACAAGGTTAATGACTCCTAAATCTGATTACATTTTTCTTCCATTTACATATAGGTACTATTCGAGATTTTACAGACAGTATTCTAGCAGCACGTGAAGAGGCCAAACGGGAAGGGAAACTCTCAAGCCACTATTTAACTGATGATGCTTTGTCACACATTGTAGTCACCCTGTTTGGCGGTGAGTCTGTCAAATATCGAGAATTTTTATCAAACTGACTTTTTTTTTTTGGTAGTTCATGAAAGCTTTGTATTCTCAACAAAATGAGAATATTATTGTTTGTATAAACTGCCCTCAAGAAGTCTACCTCCTTATACTTTTAAAATGTGTACACACACACATCTATATACACCTTATAGTGCAAGTAATAAAAAAAATTGCAAGAATTAAGTATGACGTAGGGATGGCAATGCCAAAATGTACAGAAACAAGGTAGAAATCACTACATAAGTAGCCAGTAAGTATTGAGTCAATTTTACAAGCTTATGGTTATCAGCCACTGCAAGACTGTATAGCTCTATTTTCCGTTGAAATGCTTTTATTCAAACCTGAATTCATGCAACTGACAGGAATTCAACATTTAGTTGTAGATAAGATTTGATATGATATTAACAATTTAATCATATCTTGTAAAAATATGGCTAGTTATGTAGTGATTTTGTATGGTTTTGTGTACTCATCCCTACCTTATTACTTGTTTCCCTCTCTTTTTTTAAATATTTCATTGAAGTACGTTGATAAGTGAACATCTGGTTTATTTTATAATTCAATAATGTTAATATCATATCAGTTTTGCCAATTTCTCTAACTATGGATTACACTGGGGGCCACAGAAGCTGGAATGGTTCTTCCAGGAAAGTACAAGTACCCCGGAGTGCTGGACCGACTCTAACGGGATATTTAAAGAACCCACGCTTTTCAATTCCACCCCATTAATAGGAAGGACATCATACAAATTTCAGGTCCTGAAGTACGATACCACACATTCATACACAGTTACTAGGCTGAGCCCCACTGAAAATTTGAAGAAAAGTAGACCACTATATAATGTATTATTTTGATAATTAAGAAACTCAGACATCAACAACATGTACACAGATCTGTCAGTTGCATAAATACTTGATCTCCTTGAATATTAATTTAAATTATTCTTTCTTTACTGTTGCTGAAATTGTTTTGTCACAAACAATCGTTATATAAGAATCGTTTGTGCTGCCATCTAGCGCCCAGAAATGAAACATTATGAAATATGAAAATAATATATGCTTATGAAATGAACTCACTGCTAAGTAGTAATTTTCCTTTTTATTATTTCCCCACACAAATACGTGCAGTAGAAGAACAGAATAATATTACTGTTATACAAACTATGAAACACTTGATAATGGTAATTAGGTGCTCAAGTAAGGCTATAACTCAACTTTAGAAGTTTTTTTAATGCGGCAGCCATTTTTTTCTCGGCTCATCCCTACATACTAAGCACTACTGTGCTTAGTGATAGCTTGTTCTTAGGTACTTTTAAAATTCTTTTCTGTTGTAATAAAGCCATTGTGAAAAATTCACTCATTTGCTGGCTAGCATGGGCGAAGAAAAAATACGAACACTTTAGCTTTTTAGCTAGTTCTCAATTCTCCACTTTAGCAAAACTTTTCAATGACACTGGGAGTCTCACAAACTGTAAAACACTCGATAATGGCAATTAGATGCTCAAATAAGGCTATATCTAAACGTTGGCAATTAATTGTAAGCATCATAGATTGAATGCGGCAGCCATTTTGTTTCTCGGCCCATCTCTACATTCTAAACACAACTGTGCTTAGTGATAAACATCAAATAATAAATCTACAAAATCAAGGGCTGAGTGTGGCCCTGTTTTTAGTGTGCAAATTGTGGAGCTGAGGTTCCGTATTTCGCGTCCAGTTATCATCAGGAAAAAGATAAAGGACATTCTGTACTTTAGGGTCGTGGCTGCATTAAAAGAATGACTGTCAATTCTCACTTTTAGAGCAAGTGTTAGCGGTGTTGACTAGTTACCTTCCCTTTAGTTTATTAGGGATAGCTAGTGTTGATAGGCCTCGTGTATCTTAGCTCGAGATTCAGTAAAACAAACATTATAAAATCAAAACATAAACAAGACCAATATGTCCAGAAAATATTATTTTTGGTGGAACGTTTCGGCTATTAGCTGTCTACTGGAGTATGTAAAACAACTCGGTTAGACTTGTCTTGTTAATAAACACAAAACTACACAAGGGGCTATCTGTGCTGTACCCACCAAGGGTATCGAAACTTTAGCGTTATAAGCCTTCAGACTTACCATTGAGCCACTAGGGGGCACTAAGTAAAGAATACGTAATTTAATTTTCCCCAAGAAAGACACTATAAAATCTGAAACGTTGAGCTTACTTGCTGAACGTTTCAACTTTTATAATGTTTTACACACACGCGCGCGCGTATAAATTTATCATTTTTTTCTTGAGATGTAGGATGTTTATGCCTTAATATGAGTTCATTTCTCCTGTCAACGCTTCTGACTTTAAGAAATAATGAAATATTTAAATAAATTTATCAATAATATTGGGATATTCTACACTAAATTGTTAGGAAATAATCACACTATCATTCACATTTCAAAATGTGACGTAACTTAAAGAATAAAAATGTAGATTTACCGTATTATTGTTGAGTGACTCTTAGCATGACTGAAATGCTCAACAATTACTTTTCGCGGTGAGCAGTATAAGTAGCTCAGAGCTTTGGCTTTGAGTGCAACCAAGAGTGCAACACAATTAACCTTTTTAAAGTCCATAAAATAATTTAAATTGATATATTAACTTAAAGTTTTATCATCACTGGGGACGGGAACTTTTGCTTATATGATATAAAAGAGAGCCAACATGGATTCACCAAAAGGAAATCTTACCTTACTTATTTATTGAATTTTTATTATTTTACTTATCTAGATAATGGAAAGGATGTGGGTTTGGTGTGCTTAGGAGTTTTTATACCATGTAATACAGGCAATTAGTTAAGAAAATCATATCCAATGAGGTTGAGAAAAAGCCAAACAAATCTTTATTAATGGAGTCCAGTCAAATCGAACCTTTATTACTCATGGTACATTTCAACGGCCAATGCTCAAACTTTTTCCTTATTTATATTAATTGCATTGATAAGGGCAGAATTAGTAATGTTTGCTGGTGGCATTAAAACTCTTGGTTATTTCTTGCTGTACTGGGGATGTTGAGGTACTAAATGATCACTTGGAGCAATTATTTAGTAAGACAAGCTATCTAGAGACGGGTACTTTTACTATATTAATTTAACCTTTTCCAGTCACTGGGGACGGGTACTTTTACTATATTAACTTAAACTTTTTGGTTCACTGGGGACGGGTACATTTGCTAAATTAATTTAAACTTTTCCTGTCACTGGGGACGGGTACTTTTACTATATTAATTTAAACTTTTCCTGTCACTGGGGACGGGTACTTTTACTATATTAACTTAAACTTTTTGGTCACTGGGGACGGGTACTTTTACTATATTAATTTAAACTTTTCCTGTCACTGGGGACGGGTAATTTTACTTGCAAGTATATATACATACTGAGACAAAGAGAATATACAGAAAGTACTGACTGTACACAAAATACACTCACATATATAAAAAGATATTCACACCTCATGTGTCAATAGCTCACACACAAAAGAGTGAAATCACACGTTTTTTTTAGAGTGTAGCTATAAGTTGAGGAGATAAATACACCACTTATATCAACTCTTACATGCCTTAAAAATTTCTTAAAATCGATTTGTTATACAAAATAGTTAAAAGACCAGTTTTGGTTTACCAAAAGTTTTCTTAGAATATTAGCATGTTGTCAAATAGTAATATAGAATAGGAGCCTGATAATATTGTTCTTACCTACGACGCTTGTAATTTCTTCGTAGACTTTGCGCTGGATTTTGGGATACTTTGCTAAAACAAGCACCAACCACCGAACCGCAGAGATAGTGGTATCTGAAGCAGCTACAAAAGAAGCATGGTTTTGATGTAGAATCAAAATTTTCTAAGAAAAACGACAACTAGCCTTTAGGTAACAAGAATGTCTGTATCATGAAGCTATGTTAAAGAAAACGAGACATGAGTTTATCTGTATCATGAAGCTATGTCAAAGAAAACAAGACATGAGTTTACATGTCATATGAAGCTATGTCAAACAAAAATAGTGATCAGTATACCAGAGCAAGAAACCTAAAAAAAAAGAGCAAAAAACCTTCTGTGGCTCAGAATAAGATTTATTGCAATAGCTTGAAATTACACCAACAAAACTAAATTATTATCTTATATGTGTATTTATATATATATATATATATATTACGAAACGTGATGTCTGTCCGAGTGTTCGTCTGTCTGCCGTTTAAAGACACGCAGGCAAAGCTCAACATTCACTTTTGAAATGACAGAAGAACAGGCATGAATAATGTTTAAGTCAAATTGTATTTCGCAAGCCATCATGAAGTTATGTCAAACAGAACTAACCGTGAATTTATCTGTATCATGAAGCTAAGTCAAACAGAACTAACCGTGAGTTTATCTGTCTTATGAAACTATGTCAAAGAGAACAAGTCACGAGTTTATTGTTTTTAAATACGATATCATAATTTAGATTGAATTGGCTGATACGAGTATGTAATTAAATAACACAGTGAGAATGTACGTTCTTATTCTACTTGGACTTAAAAGGTACACAACTTACCGATTTCAGTTTCTCGTGTGGTCATGTGATGAATTATGGGAAAAATCGAAAAAAGCCTGAGAGTTTCCATTATGGTGGCGACCGTGTACGGACACGACGCTTTGTCGTCTTGCACAGGGACACGTGCTCCTGAAACGTTCACATTTAAAAATAAATAAAACGTTATCATAAGTTTAATCCAGCAAGTTGACTTACCGATTTCATTTACACAAGCTACTCTTATTGGACATGTCTCATGAAGCTATGTCAAACAGAACAAGCCGTGAGTTTATGTCATATGAAGCTATGTCAAACAGAACAGACCGTGAGTTTATCTGTCTTATGAAGCTATAGTTATGTCAAACAGAACAGACCGTGAGTTTATGTCATATGAAGCTATGTCAAACAGAACAGACCGTGAGTTTATCTCTCTTATGAAGCTATAGCTATGTCAAACAGAACAGACCGTGAGTTTATCTGTCTCATGAAGCTATGTCAAACAGAACAGACCGTGAGTTTATCTGTGTAATTACCTTCTGAAAAGTTAACGGCATCAGTACAAGCGTCAATGGTCAGTTGACGAAAACATACAAGCACACTTTTCTCGTGTTTTTTTGTTGTTGTTTTTTTTAAACGTCTTTTGTTATCTTTCGGTTTGTTGTTAAAAATTTGAAGTTATAAGGATTTTTAGAAATATCAAAATCAAATCTGACGCTTCACCACATTCTTTATTTCCACAGGTGGATATAAGCTCCCCAAAAGGACTTCCATGTTGTTCAACCTGACGGCTCCTCACCTAAACGAGGAATACTGGCCTAATCCTCGTGTTTTCAAACCTGAACGATTCTTAGATGCTGACGGAAACCTAACTAAAGCTAGGCTAGTGGGGTTCGTCCCTTTCGGCTTGGGGCGTCGCCAGTGTCCAGGAGAAAAACTTTCTTACTGCGACATCTTCCTCATCCTATCGCGGCTCTTACAGAGGTGTCATGTCACCTTGCTGAAGGAACGTGAGAATGACCTACAACCGCAGCCGTTTGGCTGTATAAGCATCCCGAGAAACTACGAAATTTTAGTGATCGAGCGTTGAAAAAAGTTGTCGAAGGCAAGTTGCTACTAATAGCGAAAGTTTGACACAAAATGGCCGTTGTTATGTTTATGAGAAAAGTCGGTTGTAATGAAAACTTTACAAAATATCTACAATGTGGAATCGTTCTTTACATTTTGTGCCCTCAAATATAAATAAAGGACAATTGAATTCAGGGTTTTAAGACAACAACAAAATTGAATCCTCAACTTAAAGAAACGCGCACATTCATACACGTGCATTATTTTAGATTTAATTACTTAACTGATTTTAACCCTAACTGCTTCTTAGTTCCAACACCACCCATAATACTTGTTGTCTCGTGAGGCTTAGCAACGAGGCTTAGCTTAGGTTTTGTCAGTAGAGGACTATGATTGATACTAGAAAAATAAATCATAAAGTTGTAACATTGTAAGTACGCAGACTCACAGCTTAGCCACTAGGTGGCGCTTTGATTCTAGTTTTGTTTGCTTATTAAGCACAAAGCTACAACATGAAATATCTGTGTTGTGCCCACCACGGGTATCTAGAACCCATTTTCAACATTTTAAGTACGCAGACTCACAGCTTAGCCACTAGGTGGCGCTTTGCTTCTAGTTAGAACATTATTTTATGTAACAAAAAAAGCTCTTTACAGTTTTGTAATGAATTGGTTTATTTTCTAGCATTGAATTTTGTGAATTATTTTCCAACACATTCCGCATTAGGGCGCTATATATATATTTAAATAATAAAGCGATTTTGACGAGACATATATTTTCATGTATAATATGGCAAAATAAAAAAATGTGTATGTTTCTCGACTCCACCAACACAAACTTGTTATTTTGCATGAAATTTTCGTATTCGTAATAACTTAACGATAAACCCACTTTCTCATCGTCCTGGCATTTTTTTTAAAACTTTTTATGATGAAGCAGGCATTAGCAGACGAATAAAATATGTACACATATGTACACCAAGAAATACAATATTTTCTTGTGTAAAACAAACAAACACAGATTAATATCTAATTTTCAAAAAAAGAGTGGGGGGGGGGGTTAAGGTTATCTAGTGATATAGGAGCCATTGTAGAGATCTTGTTACTTACATTAAACATATCTCTTATATCATTTACTTTCTGAAACACTTCTCTCACACGACCAACCTCAGGACTTATTTTGTTGTTTTGTCTGTATGATATTCCATGTGAAACGGTGTTCATCATTCATATTGACCCAACACGTGTCAAACGGTGTTCACCATTCATATTGACCCAACACGTGTCAAACGGTGTTTACCATGCATATTGACCCAACACGTGTCAAACGGTGTTCACCATTCATATTGACCCAACACGTGTCAAACGGTTTTCACCATGCATATTGACCCAACACGTGTCAAACGGTGTTTACCATTCATATTGACCCAATACGTGTCAAACGGTGTTCACCATTCATATTGACCCAACACGTGTCAAACAGTGTTCACCATTCATATTGACCCAATACGTGTCAAACAGTGTTCACCATTCATATTGACCTAACACGTGTCAAACGGTGTTCATCATTCACATTGACCCAATACGTGTCAAACGGTGTTCACCATTCATATTGACCCAACACGTGTCAAACCGTGTTAACCATTCACATTGACCCAACACGTGTCAAATGGTATTCACCATTCATATTGACCCAATATGTGTCAAACAGTGTTCACCATTCATATTGACCTAACATGTGTCAAACAGTGTTCAGCATTCATATTGATCCAACACGTGTCAAACGGTGTTCACCATTCATATTGACCCAACACGTGTCAAACGGTGTTCACCATTCATATTGACCCAACACGTGTCAAACGGTGTTCATCATTCCAATCGACCCAATACGTGTCAAACAGTGTACACCATTCATATTGACCCAACACGTGTCAAACGGTGTTCATCATTCACATTGACCCAACACGTGTCAAACTGTGTTCAGCATTCACATTGACCCAACATGTGTCAAACAGTGTTCAGCATTCATATTGACCCAACACGTGTCAAACCGTGTTCACCATTCATATTGACCCAACACGTGTCAAACAGTGTTCATCATTCACATTGACCCAACATGTATCAAACGATGTTCTCCATTCATATTGACCCAACACGTGTCAAACGGAGTTCATCATTCATATTGACCCAACACGTGTCAAACCGTGTTCACCATTCACATTGACCCAACATGTGTCAAACAGTGTTCAGCATTCATTTTGACCCAACACGTTTTAAACGGTGATCACGTTTGTATTGACCCAACACGTGTCAAACGGTGTTCACGTTTGTATTGACCCAATACTCATTAAGCTGTAACTACTTTTCATATTGCCCCAGAATTTGTTAATATTCATCATTTACATTGATCCAACGATTGCTACACTGTTTACACTCGCTGACCCAACAACACCTGTACAAAAAAAAAATGCTAGTTGTAAATCACGATGTCTGACCCAACAACACCTGTACAAAAAACAAACAAAATGTTAGTTGTGAATCGTGATGTCAGTTTCTTTCTGCGAGTTTTCAAAATAATATTTTGGGTAATGACTTGCACACAGTTATAAACCCGTGTTCTCTTGTCAGTGGAAGCGATCGTTAATATTCGGTAAAAAGACAAACCTTTTAACATATTCACACTCAAACACGCGCATTAATTTGATATAACTTCTTGCTACATTTTCGAAAAAAATATTTTCATGCAAAATTATAGCTTATTATATTGGAGTTTGCAACACTATTTCTATTATTGACATTATAAGTTTTCAACATACATGTATAAAAATATAAATTACAAAATAATTTGCCAAAGCTACATTTAACAATAAATAAATTACGCACGAACACAAGAAGGTCAGTGTGTAACTGTTATTTAACAATTATTTATAGATACAGTGTATATGTTATGTAGATACATGTCTCCCGACACATTGAACCTCTGAATATCTAACCTCAACCCACCAATTAACTTGGTCTGTGTTGTTAATATTGTTTCCTGCGCTTACGAGGTTACTAACAAAATCAATCCGAGTACCGTGATGAATGACTTTTGTTCTTAATTATTCGAATTATCTTTCATTACCCCCTAGCTGTGTCGTATCGAAAAATTCAACTAGTTATTAAAGCTATCTCGTATTTCCAATTACAGTTTCTAGTTGACGTGTCTGCCGATACTCGTGTGTTTAGTGTTTTCATTATGTAATAATTAAACCGCGCTTTCCACGTTCCTGACATAAAACTAACTTCATCAAGTTTTTCTTCTAATACGGAATTAAGAATTGTCATTTTACACGCAACGTTTTACGCAACATTTGACACGTGTTAGGTCAATATAAATGGTAATCATGCGAGTAAGCAGAGGGAGAATGTACGCTCAAAATAGATCCCATATAACATATTTAAAAGGTGTAAGAACAGCCTCGGATACCATCAAACTGCACCATTTTCAGTGAAAACTACAAACATTTCTGGGGGTGTTGCCTCGCCACTCATTTCCCCCTTTTTTTTTTGCTCCAAAAGTAGCATCTTCCTTTTATAGATTTCTGCCTACGCCCCTATAAATACAGTACAGCATGTAAGATGCTTAGATTTCTGCCTACGCCCCTATAAATGCAGTACAGCATGTAAGATGCTTAGATTTCTGCCTACGACCCTATAAATACAGTACAGCATGTAAGATGCTTAGATTTCTGCCTACGACCCAAACATAATCTGAAAATATCTTAATTAAGTTCGTTATTCATGCTTTGTAAACGGACGAATTTTGGTTAGAATTTTTTAACACAGACATAATCTGAAAATATTTTAATTAAATTAATTATGTTACAGTTAGATAACGAACAGATTTTTGATACAATTTTTTAATGGATACATAATGTGAAAATGTATACATAACAATATTACCATAGGTAATAGTTACACACATTCTAGCTACATTTTTTTAAATGTAAACACCAACTGGAAATATTTTAATTCATTTTATTTTGTTAAAAAACACGTGCACATTAACACGTGGAAAACACGTGCACATTATGTCGCTGTTCTTCGAAATCTTATCCGATATAGTAACAACAATGTTTCCAAAAGTCGAAGCGAAGTCCCTAAAGACAGCAGGATAATATAAAATATTATATAATATAATTTTATTTTGAAGAGTTGTTTTTTTTGTAATTAAGCACAAAGCTACACAATGGACTATCTGTGCTTAGCCCACCACGGGTATCGAAACTCGGTTTCTAGCGTTTTAAGTCCGCAGACATACCGCTGTGCCACTGGGGGGGGGGGGCTATTTTTGAAGAGTAACGCCAACATAAGCGATCACAAATAGCAAACATTTTTGTCACCATTGTTTTACTAACAAATAACTTTACGAAACAGCATCTTACATACTGTATTTATAGGGGCGTAGGCAGAAATCTAAGCATCTTACATACTGTACTGTATTTATACCCACTCAAATATTGTCGCCAAATGCGTCCGTTTATCATAATTATGATGTAATGAACATAATTAAAATATTTACAAGTTGTTCTTACATTCACTGAATTTCCATGCTGACTGTTTTATGTAATAAATAAGATGTTAAGGCTATCAAAAGTAAATAAAAGATATAGTTCAGAACCATAAAAGATGACTTTCGATAACGAGGAACCCACTTTGAGACTAATAATGCTTGGAGACGGCTTGAATGGGTAATGTTTGTTTGAAGTTAAGAACAAAGCTACA